GTTCCTAAATTCAGTTTCCGAGACCTACTGGAAATTAGGCAGGATGCTTTAGAACCTGAAATGCAGAGCTCTGGGTTTGATTGAGGAAAAGAGGAGGCAAAGCATGAAATGCTTAAGAGATCTGGCTTCTTCATCAAGCTCGGGGGTTACCACCTGCTAACTGTGACTTTTTAGAAGTCCCTTGACCCTTCTGCACCCTCACTGGTGAAATGAGGGTAAGAATTCTAAGAATTCTTATAAATCACTAATGCATCGTGCCTAGCTTTCAAGTGAGCCCTGGAAAATGGGAACTTAAATAGCATTTGATGCTGACCTGATTTTATTTTGAAATCCGAATGCTGGGTTTTTGTCATACTATAAAAGTCCAACCCTATGCCTCAGAATAGATATCTGAACACACTTTGGTCCCTCATTTCTGATCCCCTAGTGTCTTCTTAATGACTGACCATTCCAAAGTGGTACACAGAGGGTCAGAATAAAAAAGCCATCCTTTTCCTATCCTTTCCTCTTTCTTTCTTCATTCATTGTAACGTGAATTATGCTAGCAATGTATGCTAACTAGCCAGTGTCTCTATTGAATAAAACCAAGAAAACACTGTGAAACAACACAACATTAGACTACATAAATATACAAGTGTACACTCTGGAAGCAGATACAAGTTTACAGTCTTAAAGCAGATAAAATGCTTACAAGTTTTAAAAGACAAGCTAAGTTTATGGTCATCATTCATGTATGTGGAGGTGTTTTATATCACTTAAACAGCTTTGGCATAGAATTTGTTGTGTTGCATCAGGTTAACAGCATTCAAAGTTATATACCACTAATAAGTATAATCACATCTATACTCATAAAAATAGATTTTTAAAGGAGTCTTCTTTCTGAAAATTGCTAAGTGAAGCAATTTAAAATTTCCCTAAACAGTGACAAGGGACGCAGTGGTGGTATTTTTGTGCAAATGACCATTTATTACATGGATTTGCAAATTGGTTAATTGCCTGGAACACTTAAGAAGAAAAATACTGTTCTAATAATTGTGTTACAGCTTTGGATTAAACTCAGTGGATTAATCTGAGAGAAAATTACCATAAACCAAGGTTTGTCTGATACATTATATGTGAAAAGCAGGCTGATTTTTAACTGATGATTTATGTATGTAGTGTTTGTGCATGTGTGTACATTTGGGCCCATGTGTGGAGACTATAGGTCAATTTCTGGTGTCATCCTCAATCGCACTCTACCTTCTTTTTGGAGACAGGGTCCCTCACTGAACCCGGAACCTGCCATTTTGGGTAGAGTAGCTTCTGGTGTTTGTCTCTGCCCCTTCCAGCACTAGTTTTACAAGCAGGTGCTGCAGTGTTCAACTTTTACACAGACTCTGGGGATTTAAACTCAGGTTCTCATGTTTGTGCAAGCACTTCACCCACTGAGCCATCTTTCCAGCCCCAAACTGACGTTTTCCAAAATAAAACAAGGGCAAAATGTCCACAATTCCTGCCCCTTGACAAAAGATTCTTTGACTAGAATATAAGATCTAGAAAACAACCTCTCTTCTTAGAATATGCCTATCTCATTAACTTTTGCCACCCTGGTGTCCAGTATAGTGCCTGGCACAGAGACAATCAGTTACTAAATAATCCTTAAATAAATGAGC